AGTCTCTGGCTCATGGCTCTTAGATACCTTCAGTGAAGCAGATTCTTCCCTTCACAGGCTACTGATAGTGAACCTGCCTTCTCAGCACTCCTGGCTAGCTGCAGTACCTCACTATGGCTCCTAAAGATATAATGACTAATTCTCACGCCAAGTCCATTCTCAATGCAATGAATTCTCTTCGTAAAAGTAACACTCTTTGTGATGTGACCTTGCGTGTGGAACAGAAAGACTTTCCAGCCCATCGTATTGTATTAGCAGCTTGCAGTGACTACTTCTGTGCAATGTTCACCAGTGAGGTAGGTAGGTGAGATGCACCACATACAGTGTTTTTAATACATGCTATAAGGAAGTACTTGCTGCTGAGCAAGCTTGCATAGGATTGCTCTGTAAAAAATGTAAATAACTGCTGATATTCAAGAGGATGCCAAATAATCAACTAAATTAAAGTTTCAAAATGTGAATGTAACACTGCTGTGCAGTCTTGGGAATGCAAATAAGAGATAATGAACATAAGAACACAAGAGACACCAATGTTGGATCAGGCCAAAGGCCCATCCAGTCCAATACTCTGTCACACAGTGGCCAAAAATACCAGGTGCCATCAGGAGGTCCACCAGTGGGGCCAGGACCTTAGAAGCCCTCCCACTGTTGACCCCCCCCCAAACACCAAGAAGACAAAGCATCACTTGCCCCAGCCTGAGAGTCTTTATCTATACCTTGTGCCTAATAGCAACTGATGGACCTCTGCTCCATATGCTTATCTAATGCTAACTGTTAATATCCTAATTTTTGATCTATGGCATATTACTGCTAGTTGACCACACAAGTCAGCTATCATGGGCCCATGGAACTTGTGTATTACACCTTTGAGCAGCCACTGTTTTTGTAGAGTGGCCAAGAGCTGATGGCTAGCAACATTGGCTCTACCCACTGACTCATTCCCATGCTAGTTGATACAAAGGCTTTCTCTTCAGCTTTCTCTCTTCCCATGTAACTCTTCAGCTTTCTCTCTTCCCACGTAAATGCCAATGGCAGCTTTGGCAGAGGCTTTCCTTCAGGTACCTCTGCCTCTTGCTTTTATTTGCGTGTGTCTTGGGTTTCATGTGAGACTGAGCAGCTGAAGTATATATAATAACTTTGTCAGTTCTCTCCATTTGTGCTTTTTTATACTTTTTCTTTTTAGCCCTGACTAGCCAACTATCTTGGAAGCTAAGTAGGGTTGGCCCTGGTTCGTATTTGGATGGGAGATCACCGAGGAAGACCACAGTTGCTATGTAGCAGAAAGCAATGGCAAATCACCTCTGAACACCTCTTGCCTTGAAAACCCAATGGGGTCTCCATAATTTGGGTGCGACTTGATAGCACTTTCCACCTCCATACTTTTTTGTAATATGTTTTTTCATGCACGTAATGTGGTCACCATTTGCAGTTTTGGCATGTTGGTCCGTTAATTTCTTAATCACTTCTGACAAATACTTTATTGCATTTTATTTCCTAATAATTTGATGTTCAGTTCTTGCAGAATATTTAGAAAGAATGGTGTGATAATGCTTGTTCTGATGCAAAGATCTTGTGCAGTTAGTAACTGCACTTTTCTATGTGCTTATGAATGTTGCAAACAAGGCTAATTTATTAAGGCCCACTGCTCAGCTAAATTATCCTAACTTCAATTCTGTGTTCCCAATTTGTCACAAGCTCTTTGAGCCCTATGTAGCCCTACCAAGCCTAATACATTGTACCTTGATCATCACTGTGGTAGGATGTGGTGGCTACTACAAGCATAGATAGCTTCAAGAGGGTGGTTAGATAAACTTATGGAGCAGAGGTCCATCTGTTGCTATTAGCAAAAGGTATAGAGGGAACACTCTGGGGCAGTGATGCTCTGTATTCTTGGTGCTTGGGGGGCAACACTGGGAGGGCTTCTGGAATTCTGGCCCTGCTGGTGGACCTACTGATGGAACCTGGGTTTTGGCCACTGTGTAACACAGAGTGTTGGGCTAGATGGGCCATTGGCCTGATTCAACATGACTTCTCTTATGATCTTATCCTTTTTGGATTGATAAATAATATACGCTGATATGAAAAGAAAGTACAAGATGATTGTTCTGTTCCTTCACCAGCATCGCCACACTGATCACAAACGCCACCCAGCGAAATAGCAACTTTAAAAATCTAAAGGAGAAAGAAAAATAGGCTATACTAAGCAATAAGCCAACAGAAGGACCCCACCACATTATTCATATTATTAAAATTAATACTGAATTTAAAAGAAAGGATAAAATTAAACACACAAGTAGATATTGATTGGCATATAGAATGAAATGCATTATATTCTAATTAATGTCCGCTTTTAGGTTTAATTCTATCCTGTCCTTTAATTCAATATTAATTTTAATAATGTGTAATAATTTTTATTGTAGGACCCTTCTGTTATTTGTATCTAGTGTAAAATTATGTTTTTATAGATTCCCCTGACAAAGTTTTTTAATGGAGAAACATGTAGGGGCTTTGTATAACAATAAACTTGTCACCTGGGCTGAGGACAGACTGGCAGTATGAAGCGCGAGGGAGGCGGGCAAAAAGACCCGGACCAAGTTGTGCCGAGGATTCCTGGTTGCACTGCATCTTCCGATGCGGGAGCATACCGGGGAGGAGGCGCAAGGGAGCGTTCGCACTGCTGGCCCGCCTCTGGCAGAGGCACGGCTGTAAGCGGCTTTTTTCACTCTGGCGACATGCGCATAGGCACAGCAATGCAGCTTGTTTGCGGCTTTTAGCGTGCACACTTCTGGGAAGCAGGATCAACGTGCTCTCCAGGGTTTGCTACAGCTTTCACCTGGTACTTTTCCAACTCGGTAGGGAATCATCATAGGACCAGTTGAGTACGACTGGGGAATGCCTGACAGCTGTGGCTGTGTGAACCGGCCCCTTTTATCTGTTTGTGAAACGTGCCTATATCGGGCCAAACTGCCAGTCTGAACTCAGCCCTGGTGTCTCTTTTCCAACTTTAACATGCTAACAGTGCTAGTCAGTAGCTCATGAATCAACAGAGCAGTCTTAGTTAACTTTAAGAATGAAATGGAGTGTGTAAATTTCATGTCTACTAGATGCTAAGCGCTCATCATCTTCCTGGATAGGCATCAAGCAACCCCATGGCCCCCAGTCTACATTGACTCTTTCTTTGCAGAAGACTGAAGAGGTGGAAGCCAGAACATGTATACATTTGTCTTTGTTTTTTGCCATCAGGTCACAGCCAATTTATGGCAACTCTGTAGGATTTTCAAGGCAAGAGGCATCCAGAGATGGCTTGCCATTGCCCGAGTCTAGTTCAGCACAGAACTGTGTAATCTGTGTTAATTTGGTGGGGCAGAAGGAAACATTCTTTTTTCACTGTACTAACCTGTTGTTTCATCCCTTGACTTCAGTGTAATGAGGAATTTGTTAATTATGACGAATACACTCCTGACAGAAGGGCTGACCCTGCTTAGTTTCTGAGGTATAACAAGATCAGGCTGTCCCATTCAGAGCCTGACCAAAGATTCAGAAACATTATTTCTCTGGCCTTTCAAGTTGTTACCTTTGCACAAAGCAACACTGTGGGGCCTTTCCCATTTCTTCCACATTGCCTGTACCTGAGTTTCCTAGGTCAAGCTAGAAAGACCATTGTCAGGATGTTAATATAACCCACTGAAAATAAAGCATTTCCTTCCCTTTTCATAATTTTCAGCTTTCAGAGAAGGACAAACCCTATGTGGATATCCAAGGTCTAACAGCCTCTACAATGGAAATTTTGCTGGACTTTGTATATACAGAGACAGTCCATGTGACGGTAGAAAATGTTCAAGAGTTGCTCCCAGCAGCCTGTCTGCTTCAGCTGAAAGGTAATGGCAGTGACAATAACTTCACAGATCAAGAATGGAGATATTTTCCATGTTCTGGAGCCATTTTGGCCATTTCATGTATTTATTGTGCAGTTAAGCTCAAAGTGGTGAATTGAATGGCACAGGCAACAACCATTATATTTAAAATACCAGTCCTGTTGCTCTCTGTGATGCTAGTATGCCTTTACATTATTAAACCCACTGAGAGGTCTGAATTTTGAAGTTAGGCAACTGGAAAGGTTGCAGAATATTTCCATGTACAGGGCCAGCTAAACAGGCATAGATCAGGGGTCTCAATGCGTGGATGAGAAGGTGGTGCTGGGGGGAAGGGTCTGGATTTGTTAAGCCCTGGGAAACTTATTGGGACAAGCTGGATGTGTACAAAAGACACAGGTTTCATTTGAACCAAAAGGGAACCAGGCTGCTGGCGATTAATATCAAAAAGGTGGTACAGCAGTTTTTAAACTAATCCCAGAAGGAAAGCTGATAGGGGCTAGGGAGCCTCCAGTTTCGGACAAGTCAATCCAGATTGTGTAAACGCTCAAGGTAATATTGACAGAAGCATAATAGAACTTGGGAGTGAGGGTAGGATGTTGACTGAGTGCCATGTGTGGCGACTGAGGGGCTGAGGGAGGCAAAGGGTACTGGAGAGGGCAACACATTATAGGTGTTTATATCCCAATGTTAGAAGTCTCTGAGCCAAGATGGGGGAGCTGGAGTGCTTGATGCTCAGGGACAATTTAGATGTAATAAGTATCTCAGAAACATGGTAGAATGGGGAAAATCTATGGGATACAGTCATCCCTGGATATAAGCTCTATTAAACAGAATAGGGAGGGGCGGGTTGGGGGAGGTGTTGCAAAAAGTGTTGTGTCATACATCAAAGAGGCATAGAATCAAATAAGTCAGAAAACATCAGGTTTAATTAACTTCCCAAAAGAAGCGGTATGGGTGGAAATACTGGCCCCTAAGGATTACTTAAAAGTTGGGGGTGTACTATTGCTCACCTGATCAAATCCTTGAGACTGAACTTGAGATGGAGAATAAAATAAGGAAGGTGATTAAAACAGATAATGTTATGATACTGGGAGACTTCAACTGCCCTCACATTAACTGGGTAAATGTGCTCAAATCATGCTGTAGAAATGAGATTCCTAAACTTCATAAATGATTGTGCACTGGAACAGTTGATCACAGAGCCAACGAGAGGGTTAGTAATCTTGGACTTGGTTCTGAGTGGGGCTGAAGACCTGGTGAGAGAAGTAGAGGTTGTTGCACCAACTGGAAACAGTAGCAACAGTGCTATTAAGTTCAGCATTCAGGTCAATGGAAAGTGCAAAAAGTCAAAAGAGGGAACTTTACAAAAATAAGGGGAATAATTATAAGGAAGTACAAGAGAGTCAGATCCCTAGAAAATGCTTGTAAGTTATTTAAAACCACACTATTTGAAGCCCAAGTAGACTGAATTCACCAGGTTAGGAAAGTCACTGCCAAGGCTAAAAGAATGCCTGCATGGTTAACCATGCAAGTCAAGGAAGCTATAAAAAGTAAAGAGGATTATTTTTAAGAAGTGGAAGGTCTGCTTCAATTAACTGAACAGAAGGGACCACAAGCTCTGGCAAAAAAATGCAAGTCAATAATTAGGCATGCAGAAAGAGAATTTGAGGAGCAGTTTGCTAAAAGCATAAAGACAGACAATGAATATTTCTTTAAATACATCGGGAGCGGGAAACCAGCCAGAGAAGCATTTGGGCCTTTGGATGATCAAGGAATAAAGAGATTGCTAAAGGAAGGTGGAGAGAGATGGCAGAGAAGCTTAATGAATTTTTTACTTCTGTGTTCTCTGTGGAAAGTGTAGGGTATGTACCCATGCCACAAACACTACTTTCAGGAAGGGAATCTGAAGAACTGAGTCAAACTGAGGTGACCAGAGATGAAGTTCTAGACTTATTGAGGAAATTAAAAACCATTAAGTCTCCAGGGCCTGATGGCATACACCCAAGTGTTTTTAGGGATCAAAGCCTTCAACAACATAAATGTGAGATAGTTGATCTACTAATCCAGGGTTCCCTGGATTTTGAGCCTGAGGGCACATTTGGAATTCTGACATGTCATGATAGGCTCAGCAACAAAACGGCTGCTGCAGAAGGTGGAGCCAACCTCAAAATGATCGCCATGGTTTAACTTCAGTAACACAGTATAGATCCTCATGTTGTAGTGGTAAAGGCAAAGGTTCCCTTGCTCGAAAGCCTGTCGAATCCGACTCTAGGGTTGCAGTGCTCATCTAAAGCAACATTAAAAAAAAAAATCTGCACAGCCAATCACATCTCCAATAGAACCCTTGCTGGGCAAAAAACCTACCTGGCCTTCCAACTTCCTAAAAACACTGGGGTACTGGAAAAGGTGTTGAGCACCATGACACCCATGGGCACTATGTTGGGGGTCCCCTGTACTCACCCTTATATGTAAGTTATCACTAAATTCAGCCGCTGTACCCAAAGACTGGAGAGTAGCAAAGGTTTCACCAGTCTTTAAAAAGGGGTCCAGAGGGGAACCAGGAAATTACAGGCCAGTCAGCCTAAGGTCTGTCACAGGCAAATCAGTAGAAACTGTAATCAAAGATAGAATTATTAGGCACACAGATGAACAAAGCCTGCTGAGGGGAAAATTAGCATGGCTTCTGCAAAGAGAAGTCCTGCCTCACCAACCTTTTGGGAGTTCTTTGAGAAAGTGAACAAGCGTATACACAATGGTGACCAGGTAGACATTGTATACTTGGACTTTCAAAAGGCTTTTGACAAGATACCTCACCAAAGACTCCTGAGTAAACTTAACCACCATGGGATAAGAGGACGGGTTCTTTTACAGATTAAAAATTGGTTAAATGACAGGCAGCAAAGAGTAGAACTCAATGGACAGTTCTTATAATGGAGGGAAGTAAGCAGTGGGGTCCCGCAAGGACTGGTATTGCGGCCAGTACTATTTAATTTATTCATAAATGATCTGGAACTAGGGATGAGTAGTGTAGTGGCCAAGTTTGCAGATGACACAAAATTATTCAGGATGATGAAAACCATGGCTGACTGTGTAGAGCTCCAGGAAGGAGTCCACAGATTGGCTGAATGCACAACAATATGGCAGATGAAGTTCAATGTCAGTAAGTGTAAGGTGATGCACATTGGGACAAAAAATTGCCGCTTCAAGTATAGGCTAATAGGGTCTGAATTTGCTGAGACAGAGAGAGAAGGGAGCTGCAGTAGATAGCTCAATGAAAGTGTCAACCTAGTATGCTGCAGGGGTGAAAAAGGAAACTCTTTGTTGGGGATCATTAGGAAAGGGATTGAAAATAAAAGTCAGTATTATAATGCCGCTGTGGTGTGGCTTCATTTGGAATACTGTGAACAGTTCTGGTCCCTGTATCTCAAAAAGAACATTGCGCAGCTAGAAAACGTACTGAGGAGGGCAAGCAAGATAATTAGGGGGTTGGAGCACCTTCCCAATGAGGAAAGGCTGAAGAGTCTGGGACTTTTCAGTTTAGAAAAGAGATGACTAGGGGGGGGGACATGATATAGGTTTACAAAATTATGCATGGGGTGGAGAGAGTTGACAAAGAGAACTTTTTCTTCCTCTCTCAAAATACTAGAACTCAAGTGAATCCAATGACGCTGATGGTTGGTAGATTCGGGATGGACAACTGGAAATACTACTTTACACGAGTGATTAAGATGTGGAATTTGCTGCCAGAGGGTGTAATATGGCCATAAGAATAAAACAGCTTTAAAGGGGGATTAGACTGATTCATGGAGGAGAGGTCTGATCAGTGGCATCTCCAAGTTCAGAGGCAGTAAACATCTGAATCCCAGTGCCAGGAGGCAACATCAGGGGAAGGCCTTGGCCTCTATGGAAAACACTGGACCCCAGAGGAATTGGTTGGCCACTGTGTGAGACAGGAAACTGGACTAGATGGACCACTGGTCTGCTCCAGCAGAACTCTTCTTATGTTTGGTGTCGTGGTTAAGTGCGCGGACTCTAATCTGGGAGAACCGGGTTTGATTCCCCACTCCTCCACTCGCACCTGGCTGGATGACCTTGGGCAAGCCGTAGTTCTGATAAGAGCTGTTCTTGAAAAAAAGAGCAGTTTCTGTCCAGAGCTCTCTCAGCCCCACCTACCTCACAGGGTGTCTGTTGTGGGGAGGGGAAGGGAAAGAAGTTTGTAAGCTGCTCTGAGACTCCTTTGGGTAGTGAAGGGCGGGGTATAAATCCAATCTCTTCTTCTTCTTATGGAAGTTAACATTTTTAGCAGTGAGTGAGCAATGAATGCGCTGACCTCTAAAGGTGCGCTTTCATTATCTTTAGTATAATATTCATGAATTAATTAGTTGTCTACACTAAGTCAGAGAGTTACGACATGTTACTGGAAGGAGTGAACCTGAAGATTTACTAAGATGCTGGTGAGCATGACGTAAAAATATTTAGAGAATGGAGTCATTAGTCTGTGTCCTACCACTCCAGTGAGCAAAGTTTGAGGGCTCCTTCCATATTAAGTGGCTTCCTTTAGAGAAAGAGCCACTTAAGCTGAGGAAGGCTCCTTAGGGAGAGAAACTTCCTCTGGCCTAAGCTAAGATACCACCCATTGACAGCACTTAGAAATTTCAAAACAATTTAGAATGCAACCAGTAACTAGAAATATTACATAGAAGAATCTGATTTCTTTATAATGGCAAGTGAATTAAAGTTTAATTATTTCATTCATACACCAATTCATACTCCCGGCTCATGAACCAGGCAGTTTTCATGACGAATTTAGGCTTGTGACAAGGTTTGTGTCCATCCCTAAACAGGACTGGAATCATGAACAAATGGTCATGAATCATGAACAGTCGTATTTACTGGCAAATATCCAACCATGCTGCTCCAAAAATCTACAGGCACAGGCCTTCCGAAGAAGAGGCAGCAATTTGTGCCAGTTCTCCCCGCACACTGCAGATGCCCCTCTGTTTTTCCTGAGGGAGGCTGGCTGCTTTCACAGCTTGATTCCTGGGGGGGGGGGGAGAGGGGGAGAAAATTCCAACCCTAAATGGACTAGGTAACCAGAAGTTTGAAGAAGGGGGGGGGGAACACGTGTGGAATTATCACTGTAAATTCATCACAATATAACAATCTCTAGTTACAGTATATATGTACCTTCCCATAGTGTATAAAACCTTTTTATTAAAATTGCATCTCTCCTTATATATAATTGAGTAGTGGGTGCCAAAGTTCTAAAATGCACTCCTTTAGTGTATGGACGCTTGAGCTGTCAGTCAGAAGACGCTGGCTGGGTTGACTGGCTGCTTTGTGCAGTCCCGCCCAGTGTTTCAAGGTCTTTTGCATATGGAAGCTGATTGGACTTCACTGCATTCCACACCTCAAACTCACCCCCCTCCCCGCAAGGCAGTTGGAACGTCAGTTGCATATGGAACCTTCAAGGTCTTTTGCATATGGAAGCTGATTGGACTTCACTCCATTCCACACCTCATACTCCC